TGATGTTTGTATCTTTGTCCCAACACCGTATGTTTGTTTTGTTGAAGCAATCATATATCTTCCTTTTTTTAATTTATTTTCCTTCTGGAATAATTGGCATACTTATGTATTCAATGAAATGTTAAGTTTTGTATTTTGTAGAATATCAAAATAATCAATTTAATGTTTTTTCTCAGGCTAACATGATCAAGAAGACTGAAGCTACCGTAGTTGGCACAAATAAAAAGAAATGGGTATGTTTGGAAAAAACTACAAGATCTTTCTTTTCTTTCAAAAGAAGGAAAATTTCATGTATATAATTACTGCTTTTGCATCAATTCCTTAATATTATTGTTTTTAGAAACATTCAATTAGTCATTTTTGATATCCCAATTTGTTCTAGCTAATGGGGATCTAATTTCTATTATTATATAGTTATAAATTTTCTTATGTGCATTTCTTGTGCAGAATTTTTAAACAAATTGAGGTCAAGTATCGACTTCAACATGCTCGACTTTTGGATTGATTATTTCATAAAGATTTATTGCAAATTTACTGGAGATTTTAATTCCATTTGAATTAGGAGTAATTGGTTGGTTTTATGTTGAGATTATTACATTTAGTTAGATCTCAATTTTACTTTAGATAGAAAAGATAATTTGTTTTGACATTGTTTACTTTAACAGAAAACTTATTATATTGCTATTTTATTCTTTGATTATAATATTAGAAAATATTTTCTTTATATAATATTTCTTGCATATCATGAAGAAGATAGTTTTGAATGCACAGATTGTTTGTACGTATTTGTGTCTTGAGAAAAAACTGTATATAGATTTTTCTGGGATGTTTAAAGAAACTTGGTAGAGACATTAGAATATTAATGATAGCAAAATATAAAATAATGTCACCTATTTTTATGACATTCAATAATAGCATTTGTTGACATTAACTAAAGTGACAGAAATTTCAATGTGACATTTTATAAATGACACAAGTAAGTGTCTTTAAATTTGTTTTACTAACATTTAATCTAAATGTCAGAAAGTTTAAGTGTCATTTCATAAATGTCGAAAAAATAAATGTCATATATCTCATATCGACATTTACGTATATGTCAAAAATAAATGTCATATATATCTCACACTGACATGTACCTAAATGTCGAGAATAAATGTCATATATCTCATACTGACATTTATCTAAATGTCGAAAATAAATGTCATATATCTCATACTGACATTCACCTAAATGTCAAAAATAAATGTCATATATTTCTTATCAACATTCACGTAAATGTCAAAAAATAAATGTCGTAATAATCTTACCAACATTTACATATATGTTACAAAGTAAATGACACAAATTCTTTTCATCATTTACCTAAATATCACAAAATAAATGTCACAAATTCTTCCTGACAATTACCTAAATGTCGAAAAAATCCCCAACACTAAAATTTACGACATTTGGTCCAAAAGTAAAATAAATGTCGATAAACAAATTTGTGACATTTAAACATCATAGTACGACATTTAGAAAATGTCGTTGTATCTGCACTTTATTGTAGTGAGTATTGTGGAAAAACAAGAATAGAGAAGAGGTGACCTGGGAAGTTGAGGATGGCATGAGGTCCAAATATCCTCACTTGTTTCTTAGCCCATGGTGATGTGATGTACCGTTAGTTTACAATATTTTTTTATACATTTCACTTGAGAGTTGTTTGTGTCTAGGGCTATTTTGTATTAATTTATATGTGTTTTTCTCATGTTTATAGGGAATAGGTTTAGGCACGGAAACATGAATACACAACTGAAAGAAGTGCAGAAAAGGGCATCTACAGAGGTAATTTACGGACCGTAGGTCCAGTTATGCCTCGTAGATGATAGTCGTAGAAGGGCAGGAAAGGCATTGCTGAAGATCAGGAAATTCTTGACCAAGTGTGGAACCACGGTTGTGACTTACGGACCGTAGATTGATCTACGGACCGTACTGTTCCTCCGTCAAATCATTCAGAGATTGGTTCCAGTACCTGATGCTGAAAAAATCCAAGTGTGGCGTTACGGAGAAAAGTTACGGACCGTAGATAGACTTATGGTCCGTACGGTTGAATTGTCGATTGCGACTGAGATTTTGCAGATTTTGAAGAAAGAAAAATTGCATTAGTCCTTAGCCATGTAAACCTCATTTTTGGAGGTTAGACATTATTATTTTTGTTCTAGTTTTTGGCTTGGGAGATTAACTTGCAACTTTAGCAATTCTTAATTTCCTAAGCACGTTTTGGTGATTTTTACTTTGAAATTCAAGTTGAAATTCTGGGATTATTCTACTCTACTACGTAAGTTCATGATTTATTCTTCAAACATTATGAATTGTTTTCTTGCTAATATGGGTAACTAAATCCATAACTAGGGTTATGGGAACCATGAGAGATTAACGAATTATGAATAGTAACTATGTAATTCCCGAATAGTGTTTTGCATGCATTAATAATTCTTTCATATAGAAGTCAACGTTAGAACTCACCTTGTTGCTACTTGCCGGACCAACGAGGTAGTTAATAAGAAAAGAATTATCAACATAGATTTAGTGTGATACTATCTAATAGAATTAATGTCGATTGGTGCAAGGGTAAAAACTAAGACATACATCTATGTGACGTCTAATATGAGGTAATAGTAAGGGTTAGTAAATTATAAACACGTAGCCGGACCAAGGTGCGAGGTGAAATTCTCTAGATGCCGGACCAAGGATTTAGAGATACATAACTTATTGCTTTGCATGTAATACACTAGGAAGGGATTGCTATTACTACGATTACGGAGTTATGAGCTTATGGGGAACACGTACGCCCTAGTTTCCTTCTCAATTTGATAACAACAAAAGTTTGAATCTTGCTTACTAATTACTTTCATAATTTTCAATTTTTTTTACACAAATCCCCCCCCTCTTTACTTATTTTTCTCAGAAATACATTGGCTAAACGGATATAATCGTTATTGAACTTAATCTAAACCATATTTCTCGTGGGATCGACCCAACCTACAAGTTGGGTTCTTTACGTGATAACGATCACTTATGCTTCTAAAATGATATGTAATTTGAGCATATCAAATTTTGGCGCCACTGCCGGGGAATAAGGATTTTAGATTAAGTTTAATTGTATTATTGAACTTTAGTCAAATATTTCCTAATTTTACTTTTTCTTTTGTTTTTGTCTCTCTCAGGGTCTGACTCTACTGTATGCCAAGTACACGGAGCCAAGGCGAACCACTTACTCCCTTCGATCCTGAACTGAATAGAACTTTGCGGAGAATGAATAATCAAGGAGTTCCGGTTAACCCTATTGGAGGAGAGTTAGGTGAAGGTGTTGGATTGCAACCTCCGAGGTAATTGATGCAAATAATCAGGCTCTAGTTGAGAATAGATTGGGAGATGCAGTGAGGGCACATGAACCACAAGGACCACGTCTGCATGAAAATTTCAAGGTCAACCTTAATATTGTCGATTCTGATAGACCTCTTGTCCTACCGCCTCTACCTCAGGGGCATACATTTGTGGTGACCAGTAGCTTGATGCAGATGCTTACAACGAGGGGCTTTTTTGCGGGGTTGCCAGTGGATGATCCACATGCTCACATAGCCAAACTTAATCATGTCTGCAAAAGTTGTATAGGATAACCAGATTGGGATATGAATGTCATTGGGTTGCGTGTGTTCCCCCTATCATTGACCGGATATTCTACTGTGTGGTTTAATGAACTCCCTTACGACTCAATATATATATATGGGAGCAGTTGACATAGGCGTTTTTAGCAAGATTCTTTCCAGTGTCCAAGAACTTGAACAAGAAGGATAAACTCAACAACTTTGTAGCACTACCTGGAGAGTCTGTGAGTAGTTCTTGGGATAGGTTCGCTGCCTTCATGAGGGGTGTCCCGAATCACTGTATTGATGATCAGTCACTGAAGGGTTACTTCTACCAAGGACAGGATGATAATGGTAAGGCAGTGCTCGATAGTATTGCGGGAGGTTGGTACGGTGAATGCACTTTTGCACGAATTACTGATAAAATGGAGAAGATATCTCGAAATAATAAAGCTTGGAGCACTAGAAAGTCAGACACTAGGATGAGCACATTTCCATTCAAGCTACAAACAACCAGCCCACAGATAAGATTCGCGAGAACATGGCACAGATGAGAACAAAATTACGGTTGGTGTTAAAGCATGTGACTGGATGAGTAGAGAAGGTAAATGATGTGAACTATTTGACTAGAACTCCACCACCGGCAGAAGAGTATTATTTTGAAGAGGATACTTATGGGGTGAATGAGCAGACGGGGGGTTTTCGACCAAACACCCAATGTTCCAACACGGGTAATTGGCACTAAGATCGAGGAAACCAAGGTCGGAATTGTGGCAATTACAACCGCAAGGGTCAATATGTCCGGGATGAGAACTACAATCGCGACAACAATTACAACTAGAACAACTATGGCAACAGAAACGATCGATCTGGACCTTATGTTCCTCCTCAAAATGGGGATTCTGCTCCTAGGGAAGCTCTAGGTAATATGTCAAGTATTGAGGATATGATGCAGAAAATGATGAGGAGGTTTGACGCAACTAATGAGAATGTGAAGGAGATGCAAAATGAGTTGTCCGAAATTGGCTAGAATGTTGATGCCCATGCAGTGTCGATAAAACAGCTTGAGCAACAATTTAGTCAGTTGTCTGCTACCGTGAATACACTCGAGCCGGCACATTGCCCAGCAACACTATCTAGAATCCGAAGAATGATGGGCATTATATGGAAATCATGACTCGCGGAGGAAAGTAGATTATTGAAGTGGTAGAAAAAGGTGATGATGAGATTGAGGTGACTGGAGAGTCCAAGAATTCTACAGAGAAAGAAGCGGAGAAAACCCAAAAGGTCGTCCCCATGCATAGACCTCCACCTCCTTTCCCACAAAGGTTAGTGTAGAAGGCTGAAGAAGGAAAGTACCACAGGTTAATAACTATGTTGAAACAACTTTCCATCAATGTCCCTTTGATAGAAGCTTTGGAGCAAATGTCTGGGTATGCAAAGTTCATGAAGGACTTGGTGACCAAAAAGAGGGCTATCAGTTTTGAGAATGGTGAGAGGTTGCAACATTGTAGTGCCATTTCTATGAGGTCACTAGTACAAAATAAAGAGGATCCTGGAGCTTTCACTATTCCATGCACCAATTGTAAGATGCACTTTGCAAAAGCTTTGTGTGACTTGGGTGCCAACATTAACTTGATGCCATTGTCAATTTATAAGAAGTTGGGTTTAGGAGCTCCAAAACCAATTCTGATGCGTTTACTTATGGCTGATAGAACTGTGAAGAGGCCCATTGGAGTGCCTCAAGATGTCCTTGTGAAAGTGGGGCCATTCATTTTTCCGGCAGACTTTGTTATACTTGATTCTGAGGTTGACTTTGAGTTCCCCATCATCTTAAGCGAGACTGTTCCTTGCTACTGGGCATGCCTTAGTAGATATGGAGAAAGGGCAAATGAAGTGCCAACTAAATAAGGAGGAGGTGACCTTTAACGTCTGTAAGTCTTTGAAGTAGGAAAGTGTTCTTAAATTGGTATCAGTGATGAGTCACACTTTCGGAAGAGGCGCTAAAGTGTTTAGTAAGGAGAAGTTAGGTGTTGCCTTGTACATGGAAAAGAAACGCCATGCTCAAAAGCCACAAAAGCGCAAACTAGCTGGTGGTGATCTGGTGTTGTTGTATAAATAAAGGTTATGCTGTTTTCCAGGCAGATCTAAGTCCTAGTGGAATGGACAATTCAGAGTGACCCAAGTGTCCCCACATGGAGTGGTTGACCTCGAGAAAAGGAATGGGACAAGGTACGAAGTCGACCAACGGAGGATAAAAATCTACATGAGAAATTCTGAGAGTGTAAATGCAGTGATAGAGGCATGGCATCTTGATGAAGTCTGAGTAATCAAGGGGCCTTCTTCGTGCCGCGATGTTAAATCAAGCGTTGCTTGGGAGGCAACCCAAGATGTACAATCTAGCCAACTATATGTTTTGTTTTACGTCTAGTAGTTTCTTTGGTTATTTACATCTTTGTACTCAATTAAATAGGTGCTTTAATTTATTGGTTAGTGTTGGCTAGATATAACATATGGTCCATGTCTAAAAAGTGTCCAGAAAATGTAAAAAAATGGCCTAATGGTTGCTACATGTGCAGGTGCGCAAAGCAAAATCTGCAGAAAATGGTCTGGTGTAGAGGTCTACGGACCCTATCGACGGTCCGTAGTTCATTCTACTGACCGTAAATGGTGTTCGTAGATCCCAGGTAAGTGTCTGAAATTTTACAAAGTGTGAAGGTGATCTACGATCCCCATCTACGGACCGTAGATCGACCTACGGACCGTAAGCATGGTCTCGTAGGTCCAACCCTAGCTAAACCGGACCCACTCGCTTGTTGATGATTCTTTGGCGCTAAGAGCCACAGGTTTGCGTCACCCAAATCCATTAATTTTTACTGCTTTTTGTGTGCATTAGGGACAATTGCACCTATTTTTGTTCTGGGTGAGGTAAATGGATTGTGAGTGATAAGGGTGAAGTCTGAGTAACCCAACTCATAATTCTCTCTTGAGGTTTTCATGCCTGTGTTCTTTTTCCCTAAGAGACTGCTTACTTTTTGTTGAACCGGCATGTTTAGGATCGTATGTGTACAAGCATGAGAAAGAATGATAGCATAAGCATGATGGCATGAGCTTGTTGAAAAAAAGATACCCGTCCAAAGATATTGAAATATATGCTAAAAGTTGTAGACTAGAATAAGTTGAATGTGTTGGCTCTGAGTATGACATGATAATGACAAATTTAATTTCATGACTTAAGCTAAAAACTTGAACTGGGTAATCTGATAATCTGATAATCTGATAATGGAATTGTGCGCAAAGAGTGTGCAAGAATCGTTGGTTGTTCAAACAAGTGATGCCAATCTAGAACTTGCCCGGTTAGTCCTACAAAGATAATGTACTCTAGAGGCTAGGAAGTGATCATAGGCCATTGTTCTGAATAGTCTACTAAATGCCTAAAAGAATCCGACCAAATGAAAATGAATGCTCCCGTTAATCCAAATGCTTTGAGCCTAAAAGAGACCATTTATTTCTAAACCAGTAACTCACCTTCCCGTAATCTATTGTTTTTGCCCCGGTCCCTCCTTTGACATGTGCACCTCAACTTAGGCCAAAATCCTAAGTTGAGGGTGTCTAATGCAAAAAGTGACCTCAATCTTGGACCTGATCCAACATTGGGTATTGAGCACCTCAACTAACGGAAATTCCTTAAGTTGAGGTGGCTATGAAAGGGGAAATCTAAAGAAAAATGGATATGAAAAGAGTTTGGTGTTGAAAAAAAAAGAAAAGTGACTTTGTGCGAAAGAAAGTGAACAAAACTAAAGAAAAGAAAAAAAAGAAGAAAAGTGAAAAATAAAAGAGCTACAAAGTTGAAAGTAACATCAATGATGGAAAAGAATCAAGGGAAAGACGGGAAAAAGGTAGGATGTCAAAAATAGGACAAAAAGAGGTAGAAAAGCTTAATGTAATGTCAATGAGGGCAGAAAGTCACTAAAAGTACCCAAATGTACCACACCTGAACCTGAGCCTACGTTACAAGCCAAGAAAGTCCTATAGTGATCCTAGAACCTAGTTGGAGAGTTTAAGCAGTTAAAATAAGGGCAAGCCTATGGTATTGAGCACTACCTGTAATTGCAGTTACTTCTGAGCGTGAGTGTTGAATGAATCCTTGTCCTTAAAATCATATTTATTGTGTGAAAAAAGGAATTTCGGTTTAAAGTAAGTGCACTGGTGACATTGTTGGAAAGTTGGTACCTTAGTGATAGTAGAACAGTGTATTTGGTGAGTTGATTGGTCGATCTGTGTCATATTTTCATCCACACAAATTACCTTGTTAAGTCTAAGAAAATAGAGTTTGCACCCGAAAAGAGAGTTGGGATAGAGAGCCATGTGATTGCTTGTGCTTAAATTGCTTGCTTCTATAAAAGTGTCGTTTAGAGTCTTAGTGCGTCACTTGAGGACAAACAACGATTTTAAGTTGAGGGTGTTGATGTACCATGAGTTTACGGTATTTTTGATACATTTCACCTGAGAGTTGTGTGTGTCTAGGGCTATTTTGTATTAGTTTATATGTGTTTTTCTCATGTTTGCAGGGAATAGATTCAGGCGCGGAAACTTGAAGACACAACAGAAAGAAGTGCAGAAAAGGGCATCTACGGAGGTAACTTACGGACCGTAGGTCCAGTTACTCCCCATATATGATAGTGGTAGATGGGCAGGAAAGGCATTGCTGAAGATCAGGGAATTCTTGACCAAGTGTGGAACCACGGTTGTGACTTACGGACCGTAGATTGATCTATGGTCTATACTGTTGCTCCGCCAAATCATTCAGAGATTGGTTCCAGTACCTGATGCTATAAAAACCTAAGTGTGGCATTACGGAGAAGAGTTACAGACCATAGATAGACTTACGGTCCTTACTGTTGAATCGTCGATTGCAACAGAGATTTTGCAGATTTTGAAGAAAGAAAAATTGCCTATGTCCTGAGATACGGAAGGGACCTACGAACCGTAGATCAACTTATGGACCGTAGGTCAGTCTCGTAGAATGAAGACGCATCCTGCAACTCTATTACCTTATTTAGTTTCCTTTTTAATTAGGACTTATTTTTCTATATATAGGGTATGTAAACCTCGTTTTTGGAGGTTAGATATTATTATTTTTGTTCTAGTTTTTGGCTTGGGAGATTAACTTGCAACTTTAGCAATTCTTAATTTCCTAAGCACGTTTTGGTGATTTTTACTTTGAAATTCAAGTTGAAATTCTGGGATTATTCTACTCTACTACCTAAGTTCATGATTTATTCTTCAAACATTACGACTTGTTTTCTTGCTAATATGGGTACCTAAATCCACAACTAGGGTTGTGGGAACCATAAGCGATTAACGAAGTATGAATAGTAACTAAGTAATTCCCGAATAGTGGTTTGCATGCATTGATAATTATTTCGTCTAGAAGTCTTTTCAATGGTGCGCAACGTTAGAACTCGCCTTGTTGGTACTTGCCGGACCAAGGAGGTAGTTAATAAGAAAAGAATTATTAACATAGATTTAGTGTGATACTGTCTAATAGAATTAATTTCGATTGGTGCGTGGGTGAAAACTAAGTCATACATCAATGTGATGTCTAATATGTGGTAATGGTAAGGGTTAGTAAATTATACACACGCAGCAGAACCAAGGTGCGGGGTAAAATTCTCTAGATGCCAGACCAAGGATTTAGAGATACATAACTTATCGCTTTGCATGTAATACACTAAAAAAGGCATTGCTATTACTAGGATTACGGAGTTATGAGCTTATGGGGAACACGTATGCCCTTGTTTACTTCTCAATTTGATAAAAACAAAAGTTTGAATCTTGCTTCCTAATTACTTTCATAATTTCTAAAATTTGTTACACAAATTCCCCCCCCCTTTTTACTTATTTGTCTCGGAAATACATTGGCTAAACAAATGTAATCGTTATTGAAGTTAAGTCTCAACCATATTCCTTGTGGGATCAACCCCAACTTACAAGTTGGGTTCTTTACATGATAACGATCGCTTATGTTTCTGAAAAGAGGTGTAATTTGAGCGTATCATGATGGCATATGTGTGTATATTAGTGCAGTGAGGTTAGATACCAATCTAAATTTTTTTATATTGTTGCATATTTTTATTGTTGTTGTTGTTGCGTATTTGCTCCCACTGCTATTGTGGAGCAATAATGCCTAGCTATTTATGTCATCATGTTAGACGCCTAGGTTAGAATTTCTGCGTTTCATGTTCCTGGATAGTCGCATTTACAAAGGATATTCTGCCTAAATTTTTGAAACTCCTAAGGACTTAACCGCGTGACTCAGATTTTTGTTCATTCGAGGACGAATGTTTCTAACAGGGGAAGGATGTAACACCGCGACTTTTCAAAACGTCTAAATTAACTCATATCTTCGTGGAAAGACATGGAAGGGAGGGGGGTAATAAATTAAGAATGATATGGTATGTCATATTTTAAGTGTTCAAGGGTTGTATCTCAAGTTTTGAAGTCAGGTAAGTGGCAAAATAAAAGTTGGCGAAAGTTACCGTAAGTTCCTTTTTACAGATTTCTTTGAAATTTGGGTCAAATGTCATTGATGTTTTCTCCCAATATATAACAAATTAGAAGGCCTATCACCCATTAAATTGAAGGCCTATGAATCTAGTTTGCAATGCAAAAAACCCCGTATCCAACCAACATCGGACTAAAAGGTTATGAGGGTTTTACTACGGATTGCCGGGGCAGAATACAGGTCGAGTAAAAAATGTGATATGTCGGCTTACTCAACGTTTCAAGCCTTGAAAACATTTTATTTCACTTCCAAAGCAGAGAGAAAGCATAGGAGAGGGTTCCTATGGAGTTCTTGCATGATGAAGGTTAGTTTTTGACGATTTCTACCATGAAACATTGCTCCA